TAGTAGAGTATTAATTGCATGAACCAAACGACTGGTAACCAAACACCTCCTCCTAGCTTCACGAATCACGAAGATGCCTATTGTTCACTTTACACTTGCACTCTAACCACACACACGTTGCTCCGACTCCTTTTCTTCTTCTCCGATCACATTCCGGCAGTCTCAGTTCCATCGAAAAGCTGCTACAACTGTTAGATACACACTTCGCACTTTTCTGTACGGCAGGATTGTCAAGGAAAATTCTCAAATATTGCTAATGCGCATTTGATTTCCCGTCATGATGATGGAGAGAGATCCCTCCAACGAAGAAGAGGATCAAGAGAACCTGATCGCGCAGAGAGAACGGGGAAACAACCTTTCCGAATCTCCGGTGCGTACGGCATTTCAAATTGACGACGAAATTGCGGATACTCGCCCCTTCAATTCCAGCTGCAGTAAGTGCTGCTATTTCTTAACAATTATTGTTGTTACAGTCTTCATATTCATCCGTTTCTACACCACCGACGTTGATAACGTCTCTAAAACCGGCGTTATGAATAATGACTCCGTCAATCTTATGCGAGAGTCCGAATTGCGGGCTCTGTATCTGCTTAGACAGCAACAATTAGGGCTCTTCAAGCTGTGGAACAACACACTGATTGATAATTCCTTGAATGCTACTGTCGCTAACAATAGTAATTTTGTTTCAACGTCCTTATTTTCTTCTGTGCTTTCTGAAGAATTGAAATTGGAGTTGATCAGTCAGATTTCACTGAATAAGCAAATTCAGCAAGCACTCTTGTCGTCTCATCAATTAGGTAACTTATTAAATGCATCCGATAATGCTACCGATCCTAGTCTGGACGATTATGGTGGTTTGCATAGGTGTAGGAAGATGGATTATAAATTATCTGACAGGAGAACAATTGAGTGGGAACCGAGGTCGGATAAGTATCTGTTTGCAATATGTGCATCAGGACAGATGTCAAACCATTTAATTTGTTTGGAAAAGCATATGTTTTTTGCTGCTCTGCTTAACCGCATTTTGATCATTCCTAGCTCACGAGTAGATTATGAATTTCGTCGAGTGTTAGATATTGATCATATCAACAAATGCTTGGGGAGGAAAGTGGTTGTAACTTTTGAGGAATTTGCAAAAAGTCAAAAGGGTCATATGCACATAGATAAGTTCATTTGCTATTTCTCTCAACCACAGCCTTGTTTTCTGGATGACGAGCATGTTAAGAAGTTGAAGTCATTAGGGGTTTCCATGAATAAGCTCGAATCTGCTTGGGATGAGGATATTAAGAACCCGAAGCCAAAGACTGTTCAAGACATTATGACAAAGTTTTCTTTGGATGATGATGTTATTGCAATTGGTGATGTATTTTTTGCCAATGTGGAAAAGAAATGGGTAATGCAACCTGGTGGCCCCATTTCGCACAAATGCAAGACACTCGTTGAACCAAGTCGTCTTATATTGCTCACTGCCCAGCGTTTCATCCAAACGTTCTTGGGAAAGAACTTTATTGCTCTTCATTTCCGCAGACATGGTTTCTTAAAGTTCTGGTATGTTTGTTTCTCATCTGTGTGATTTATTGTGACATAGTTCCTTGCCTGACTTTACTTATCTATTTGACAGCAATGCCAAAAAACCTAGTTGCTTCTACCCTGTTCCTCAAGCTGCAGATTGTATTAATCGTGTGGTTGAAAGGGCCACTGCCCCAGTAATTTATCTTTCCACAGATGCTGCAGAAAGTGAAACTGGTATACTTCAATCACTTGTTGCTGTCAATGGCAAAACTGTGCCACTTGTTAGAAGGCCTGCTCAGAATTCAGCTGAGAAATGGGATGCTTTATTGTACAGACATGGTCTCGAAGGAGATCGTCAGGTGAGTTAGAGTCTAGCCCCTGGAAATGCATCTGGTTGATATTCATGCAAAATACTGATACCAGTTTATATATCAATTGCTGGAGAAAACCAGTTGATCACTTTAATACTGGAACTTCTTTGCACTATTAATCTGACCCTGCCTTTTCTCTTAATCTTTATTTATCAAGTAGCAAATTGACTCATTGGAATCGACCTTGGTCTTGATTGAAGTTAAATAGACATCCTATTAAACGTAGGGAAGGCTACAGTGAGTCTGATCTAATTTTCTTGAGTTGTTTCAGCCTAAAATTGGAAAATGATTGATCAACTCCACATTGTTATTTTTTTTTGGTGAAGTAATTAGATTGCATTAGAAAGACATCAAGAAGATGCAATGGTTACAACTAAAAACAAAGTTGCTTCAAACATGAAATCAACTCCACATTGTTATTGCATTGGCTTCAACTTTAGACAGATCAAGTTAGTTTCAGCGGTAGTTTGGGTTTAGCTAAAACCTAGAAGGTGAAAGTAAGTTTCAAGTAAGCCATACACTAATCAATCCAAAAATGAGAGTAGACCCAATCTGATTCTTTTGATTTCATTTATTTGCTAGCCATCGTTCATTGTCCATTCATGGTTACTTAACTCCCTCTTCCCTGTTCTATGAAATGGAAGTAGTATTGTCACTTTGTGCCACCTTTAAAAGAAAGGAATTTCATTTTTGGAAAATGATAGAACTGTGTGATGGACGAGAAAGGAAGCTAGGACATTTGAATTGGGACCCAAGTAGTATTATATAAATAGGTGAGTTGTTTTTACTAGGTCGTTTATGTTTGTAAAATAAAATCTTAATCGACTGAACATCCATTAAAAGGCTTAATTTTACCTCCAAATCAGAACTAAACGGAGATGATTCATTCAACTCTATTCCTTGGATCTTACGGGAGTTCCAAATATGTTTTACCCTACGGACTGTTGACGGTTGAACTTGAAAAGGGTTTTAATTGAAATGGGAGGAAAATGTTAGGGTAATATAAGAGTGAGGTCATGATTCAACTATCGAGGAGCCTTTTGGGTCAAAGTCTAAGTAGATAAAAGCGTGAGGCCCAAGCCTTGAGGCGGCAAAGTCTAAAGTTGACAATGCTTTGACAATTGAGAATAGGCAATGACAGGTTATATCATAGCCAGCTGGCTGTTACACCTCCTTTGCTGTGAAATTTGTCGTGTTGATTGGATTTGCTGTGGAACTTGCCTTAGGCAAATCTCACATTAGAATTGGAGGGAAGAGTTAGGATAGTCATATAAGGACGAGTTTAGGATTCAGTTGAGACGCCTTTTGAGTTCAAATGCAAAGGGACATACCAGTGACTCACAAAAGCCTTGAGGAGGCCAGAGAGGTCAGAACAAAGCAGACAATACCTTGACAAATATTGTTGTAAATATTAACAGAGGGTCATAAGTCATTAGAACATTCCCTTTTTGCTTTTCTTGTTGCATTCCCTTATATGTTTTTTTAATCTTCGTGAAGGTGGAAGCTATGCTGGACAAGACCATTTGTGCTATGTCTGAGGTGTTTATTGGATCAATGGGCTCTACTTTCACGGAGGACATCTTACGTCTTAGGAAGGACTGGGGAACATCATCACTTTGTGATGAGTATTTATGCCGGGGTGAAGTTCCCAGTTTCATTGCAGACGATGAATGAATCTGATTAATTGTGGAGTTTTTCTTGTTATCAGGTAACACATTCTGCTACTGAAGCTGGAAGATTTAGGAGGTCTTCTTAACAAGTTACCATGCCTGAGTTAATTACCCCAGAAGGCATATTGGCCTGATTCTTTTGATATGTGATCTAGTGTATCTACATTAGTCTAGGGGAAATAACCATTCAAGTTGACCATGCTGTTTTATTAGTTGAGATAGATTGATTTCGTTTGATCTTATGCATTGTAGTTTACCAGTGTACAAAATCTATATACTTAACATTACCTCACATGTTCAATCCTTCAAATATTTAACCAAGTGGCGAATTTTTCCTTTTTGTGAAAAAATGGCTACAAAACCAGGTCTTCTTTTGGTGATTTAGAATACAATTTGATAAGATACAAATTTAAATTGAAGTATTTCCAAATTTAGAAAGATGATTATTTTTTCAAGATAGCCTATGCATTGGGATACCTTATGGAATTATTTTTTTATTTATATTAAAATGATATGATAAAATAATTTTGGACTAACTATGGAGTACTCATTACAAATACAAGATAAAATAATCTTATGAATATTTTGAAACTACTATATTTATCCCACTAACTAACTAGTAGTGTTAATGATTATTTTAAAAACAATTGAACCAATTGAATCGCAATGTATCAAATCGATTTTTAGGATTTTTAAATAAGTCAAAGGTTTCAATTTAACTCTATAACTATATCTAATTAGACTAGATTCTTTATTTCTTCAAAAATAATTGAAATTTTTTCGAACAAAACCGTATATCAAATTATATATATAATATGTTAAACATTAAATAGTAAGTATTAAAATTTTGGACGATGACACTTGACATTTTGTGAAAAAGAAGTATAATATGATATCCAAAATGTATTGTTGAAGCTACACCAAAAAAGTACTCAACACTAGTTTATTTTTCGTGATTATTTAAATTTTAAATTCCAATATAGCAATAAAATGCATGCTCAATCCATCGGCGATGTTTCTAGCTTATAAGCTACTATACTTTAAAGCTAGATTTTCGTAATATTTATTTTGTATATTTAATTATAGATTCTGTTATTTGTACGGTAGGATATTATAAAGGAAAAAATATTTTCATTCAATGTTATATTCCAATTTTTGAATATTTACTTCTATAGAATTTTATCAATTACGATAACAGATAAATAACATTTAAAAACTCAAAAATTGATCAAATCGTACCAAATTTTTTTAGAAAATGATACCTTTGACACGATTGCCAATAAAATATTTTAATCATACATATCATAAAGTAATCAAAAATGAATAAATTAATTCGTTAAAAATAACCTGCCGAACCTTCCGATGAACTAAAATGATCCCTTAGGTCTGGTGAATGGTCTGTGCTGCCGCTGCTTCCTTCCTTCATTTATATTTCAGCGCTTCATTCACTTTCGGTGTGCTTTTCATTTCTCCGAAAACCGTTACAACTTGGCAGTTTTTTAAGCTCCTTATTACTACTCTCACCGCCTCCATTTCCCTCAAATCAATCTGCACTCTTCTTCCGAATCGAACAATCTTCCTTCTTCATTTCGTTGAAATTTGTGTACTGAAAACGAATCATGAAGGCGAGATTGGTAGTGTTCCCAATCAGGGGAAGGAATTGGTGTTTCAGTCGATCGATTGAATCATCGCAATCTGAAGCTCAATCTTCTAATACTCCTTCTACATTGAAAGACCTCTGGAAGAAGATTTCCTCCAAATCTAGTCATGATTCACCCGCCGCGAATATCGAAGTCGTCGTTGATTTTGCCTCCGATAAGGTTTTTTTTCATTTTTTTTTGTGCTTTGGTTGAATTTACGTTCTAATATTGAGGTAATGGAATGAGGAATTGCTGTTGTGTTTGTTATAATAATCAGATGAACAAAGCTTGGACTAGTTTGGAAAAAGCGCCTGCAGGAAGTTTAAAGAACAGACTTCACGGGTAATCTTTAGTTTTTCTTCGAATACTACAATGTAGCTAATGATACTGAAACGAATTAACGATTTGTGATGTTAGGCTAGGGTTGACGCTTCTTTCTCGTGTTAAGCCTTCGGAGATCTTTTTGAAATCCATTTCTAAGGAGGTAACGCGTGTCGACATCACCTATCCCTCAAGGTATGGACCCCTTCTCTCTCTCTTTTTGTCTTTTAGAGGTATTTGGTAGAGTGTATGAGAATAATACTGAATTTCCTGTAGTAATGCTGTGATCAGTTATGGTGGAATTGTTTTGTTATTCAGTGCTTGGTTTGGTGTATCAAGGGCAGTTTTGTCTTTAACCATGCCTATCCATGTACTAATAGTTCTTATATTGCGAATACCATGATTTGCTATGTAGTATTAAGTTTATACCCTATAGTACTGAATAGAGTGTATAACTAATACACATAGGCTGAAAATCTTATCAAACAAAGGATTAGATAGTATTATGACTAATACATCCTACCAATCGACCTCTCTACATCATTGAGATTGATATATGTGGTGCAGGATTGTTTCTGTGTAATGCAAGTGTTCCTTTTAGTTGTACAAATCTGAATGATTATAGATCCTATTTTATGAACTGATGAGTGTATAAAAACGTGGTGTTGATACATGATTTTAAACAAATGTTTGATAGAGATCCAACTTTTTAAGAAAAAAATTATTAGACAAATAATTTTAACTCATCTAAGCTTGACAAGAGCTGGTAAATTTAACAGTCTAATTGGTCGAAGTGGATCAGCAGAAAATGAAAATGGTAGTTTTCATCAGTAATGAGAATAAAAAATTATTGGATTTAGAGTAAGTCATATAGTCAGATGAATGTGATCTTATTCGTGTTCTCATGACATGTCATGGCTTTATAGAATCAGAGTTGCTTAGAGAAAGCAATGGCTTCACGTGCTTTTGCTGAATAAAATTGGAAACAATTAATTTCGCTTCAATATCTCTAAGTAAGTCATATAGTCAGATGAATGTGATCTTATTTCCAAGTTCTCATGACATGTCATGGCTTTATAGAATCAGAGTTGCTTAGAGAAAGCAATGGTTTCACGTGCTTTTGCTGAATAAAATTGGAAACAATTAATTTCGCTTCAATATCTCTGTTTGGACTTTGATAAGTTGATGTCAAGGTGCACTTTTTATCCAGGAGAAAAGCTTTTTTAAAAAGAATAAATTTCTATCCACATTCAAAAGATCCTTTACATTTTCTATCCATAGGGTCGTTTGAATTTCTTCAGTTTATGTACCATGTTTTACCTTTTTGCCTCTGAGTGTACATGTGCTTAAAAGAAAAGAAAGGGGAAAGGCACATTACATGAGCACCTCTACCTTTAGATTGTATGTTATCTGGCTGTTTGCACCAATCTTGTCTTTTTTTTTTCTGCACAGTTTAAATGGACAGCTTGTTCGGCGGAGGCTACGTCATATCGCCTCGAGGTAGGGTATACAATGCTTATTTATTTATTGTTTTTTTTTTTCTTCTTTTTAAAACATCATATTTTCACTTTCTCATGAGGTCTTGTAGTCCTGCAATTCGTTGCATATTTCTTCCTCTTTCGTGATTTCTTAACCACTCTATAAAAGTTTCTAATTTTAGTTAGGATGTCATATATTTTAAGCCTAAGGAATATATCTCTTGTTTCGGCTGGCATCTATCCCAATGTAACAGAAGATTTACCATTGTTTTCTACCATTTATAATTACGGGATTGAGAAGCCAATAAGCTATGAACCGTAAGATCATGATTGTCCACTTAGAAAAGAAAACAACTTTAATCCTCCTATTCCAATTGCACTATGGGCCTTCCCAAATGTTTGACACACTTAATAGTTAATACCAATAAAGCTACTCCTTACCTCTCTTAATAAAATCCAAGAAGTCAAGTTTAACTTCAAAATTATGATTCACTAACTTTGTTATTAATACTTCAATATAATCTTCCTGCTTTGATTTCTATTATATTTTACCTTTTCAACTTTTTTTTTGAGAATTCTTCCTAGATGCTTTGCTCTGTGTCACCACTGCCAATAATTAACAATTTCGTTTTGATCTTCCATTTGTGATCCTTTTTCTGAATGTTTTTACCAGTAAACAATTCTTTTAGCCTATTCTGTTTACTCATATGTTTTCCTATAAGTTGCCTTTCTTTCTATGTGGTGGTTTCTGCACTACTGCAACTTTTCTAGTAAATATTCACTGCAGAACAAACCAGATGCTTGAAAGTCAGCCAAAGAGTTAATATCCCGACCACACTTGGTTGGGGGATTTAAAATCTCTTTCTTCTGTGGAAGAACATATTCTAATTAAGGTGAGAGTTTTGTGCATTCATAATCTACTAGGACAAATGAAGATGGATATAAAATAACACACGATAATTTAATTCTGGTGGCCAGGCAAAATCATTTACCCTTGTCAGATGGTTAGAAAGTGCTTTTAGGCACTTCCTTTCATCTCAGATTTGGATATGAACAATAATGTGAGCAGATTCAGCCTCCTGCCAGTAAACACGTGTAGCTCATATTTTTGTTGTGTGAATCTGGATTCTATATCTCAAAATAGATCCTGAACCTTATTTCACTATTTGAGATACTAATCCTTGACAATGCATTTTATTTTGCAGAAAAGAACTTCCTAGTGTCACTGGGGCATGAATATCATAAATGACTATCTGTTTTCTTAATGACCATATCATTGGCTTGAATCTAATTGAAGTTATGTCAAGGGACGATCGAAAAAATCCTTTTAACATTGACCAAAGTCACCCAGTCAACTTTTCTCTTTTTGAACCCTGAATTAGTATTTTGCTATTTTAAGGATGATAGTTTCCTATGTTGTTTGGTGTTGTAATATAACATAATTCAAAAACTCTTTCCTCCTGTACATTTCATATTAATGTATGATTTTATTACCAGGGGGGCTATCATCCACAAGAAGTACTTGTATGGATCAGCTACATTGCTTCCACTGACATCATTTTTCATGGTATTGATACACTATTTATGAAATGTCAAGTCTTATATTTAGTTCTCTTTCTGATCATATTGAGATGTACCATTTTCTTACTTGCGCCTCTTTTTATGTGATCCTCTTGATTTATAGTGTTGTGATTCTCTTGCTTTTCTCAATTTATTTTCATGTCATGCAGGTGCTACCCTTGCCTAATATACCTTTCTTTTGGGTCTTATTTCGGACGTACTCTCACTGGAGAGCTCTTCAGGTGACTAATATTTTGAACTGATTAAAATGTTGAGAATTGCCGCATGCCTTTATAGTGGAAAGTTGTAAATAGTTTCTCTTTTTGGTAGCAAAACTAGACATACATACACGTGCATGCTCTCATATACTGGGATCACAATTATAGAGTCCATGTGATTCCATTTCATTGCACAGCTCTCTGTGTATTTGTCCAGTTACATTTCTTCCCATCCTTCCACTCTTCAAATCATTTAACCGCGAAGTTTAATGTGTTCTATATGAACAATTGTGCTCTCAGTTACAAACAAGTGGGGGTCGGCTCTATGATCCTCATAGACCATGTTATTCCCCATTTGAAATTCATCCCAGGTCGACACTATACAAAATAAAAATATAGCTGAAAGGTACTAGATGTTTAATGTGTGCCCCCAAAATTCGATATGTGCTTGCTTCATCAAAAAATAAAAAGAAAATTGATATGTGCATATAGCTTACAAGACAGTCTTGTTATTGATTTTTGTATTTACTATGTTGCTTCGATATTTTATCTTCTCTTTGTAAGAGCTCCTGCTGCTTAGGTTGCTAATTACCTTTACATTTTTTGGATCTTCAGGGAAGTGAAAATCTTCTTCGATTAGTTACAAACAGCTCCCATCAACAGAAGTCAGATAAGGGAACAACAGACAAGAGTACAAATGTAAAAGATGACCCTCAGAGAACGAACAACTGCATTAGTCCACCATGGGTAGAATATCACTTGGAACTTAGCTGAGACTATTATTAAAATTTTCTTGTCTTCCTTTGTTTCTGCTTCCTTTCTGCAGGTGGATGCATGCATCATTAATCTTTCGTACATCGTATTCAAATTTGTCCGTCTTTATGGAACCCAATTAGGACAATCACCAAAATTTTCTCGTCTTCCTTTCTTTGCTACTTCCTTTTCAGCAGTTTTTCTTTAGTCACCCTCTTGTTGGATATAATGGTAGTATGATTGGTCCTTAAGTCTGCATGTATACCTTTATTTAGATAGATGCATGTAAAAGAAGTTTGGCAGATCCATGCATCATCAAATTAATAGTGTTTCAGTTACACACTTTTGCTCTTTAAACCTGATCTTACTTTCAGTCTAGGTATCTCTTTGTACCACTTCCTCTCTCTCTCTCTCTCGCGCATTCTGCTTATTGAGTTGTTCTATTCTGTGACACTTAACGTTCTATACTTGCTTCCATGTTTGCAAAGCATGTATTGATGGATCATGTTGTAGCTAATGGTTGGAGTCATTGGTTTATTTATGCATATTAACTGGAGTAATCCATATTAACTGGAGTCTTGCACTTGGTGGTATTCACAGGTATTATTGCCATCAGAAGACCTTCAAAAGCTTATTCAATCTGGAGAATCTAATGATGGTTTAAGTGAGTCGACCATATCTGATATCTGCCAGAGATTTAACTTGAACACAATGGATGTTATCAAATACAAGCACTCACTGTAGCTGACTTTTCCCAAGTGCCGCAAGTCATTCCATATCAATCTTGAAAGAACTGGTCATGAGAATTTTAGCAGCTTCCCAGACCCCTATAAGACTATGGGGAACCAAGAGATTCATATTAATCTTCACTACTGTTTCAGGAGTACTCAACAAAATGTTTTTCTTCTGTATTTTCTATAGATGCTGGGAAGCTCAAAGCTGCCCTGGTTCAATACATTTGTTCCCTTGTGAGTTGCTACATATCTTGGAATCGGCAAGACAAAAATTAGGAATCTGCATCCACCGTCACTAACATACATGTTACCTGTAGGTTTCTTTGATTCAGTTATGACATTTCCTGCAATAATATCTTCGTAGAATTATAGCTTAGTGCAGTGAACTTGAAAGCTATAACTCTTCATTTTGTTTTAGTGGTTGTGAAGAAGCTTAGTTTCAAAATTGTGGCTTCATATTAACCAAATCTGTATTAGAGCGTTTAGGCTCTTGACTCTGAATGTTGGATGTAATTGATAGTTTTCAAGTTCAGACTTCAGATGTGCATGCTTGAGCATCTTTTAAACTGTCTCATAAGATATCTTGTTTTGTTAGCCGCAGAAAGGAAGCAGAAGAAGTACACAGTTTCGAACAGAAGAATAAGTTAATGCATATGGTTCAAAACTAGTCCAGTGTTGTTCCCAAATTTTCAAATCAAAAACTTGAAAGGGGGAGGATTAGTAAAATAATTATAATCACAAGTAAGGGATGCACTACAAGTTGAACTTCAACTAAGCACAACCAGTTCTCTTTCATAACAACTATCCTCGTAAAACATCTTATTATAACAATCAAGTTTTTTCTTTGAAATCAAATTTCATGTTATGATGGATTATATGTTCTTTATAACCATATTTTTCTATAGCAGCCAACAAATATCAAGACAAGCAATATTGTTCTAAAAATGTTTGGCTGTATAGGTAATTTTCTCCTTTTTTTAGTAAGAATGGCACCAAATAGCCACTTGTAAATTTACCTTGTTTACATAATTGACTTTTTAGTGACTTTTAAAAAATTTAGGGTAGAAAAATTAGAAATCAAACTTCAAAACTAATCTTACTCATTTTAGATAACAAGATTCATATAGATGAAATTGTAGCGTAAATAAATTTTGATGCTCTTGAATTTCAGTGAAAGAATATATTAATTTCAGTCATAAATAGACTAATAATTCATCTAATTCAAAATCAAAACTAACTTCAAACCGTTGGGTCTAAGTTAGAAACTTCACACCTGTGATTTCAACTTCAAATCCACATGTTTGAAGTTAATTTTTAGGTGGCTAAATTTTAAATTTTTATCTTTTTTTGCAAAATAGGAACCCTAAATGAAAAAATGGCATAGCATAACAACCTATAGACTTTATTGGCAACAAATAGCCCACTTTAAACTTTTTAGCAAAATTTTTTTTAAAAATATTTATTTGACATTAAATAGCCACATTCTTTCTTTTTTTTATAAAAAATGATTTTTTCTTGATTTTCTCTCTCCATTTCCTAGCAGTTAGCACGTTTGCTTTTATTGTTTCTTTTTTCTCTCTCCTTATAATTTGTCAATAGAAAAAGTTACGTATTTTTCAATTCTCTTTTTCTTCCCTTTTTTTCTCCCTCTTTCAAGTTTCGGATAAAGATCAATCACAATAATAACTCTTCACAATAAGTAACTCAAATCATATCAATTTTTTTATATTGATTGTCTAGCTTATTTTTAAAAAGTTGAGACTTTCTACATTTTTATCTTGTAGTTGGATGCAAGATTATTATTTTTTTACAAATTTTTGTATTTGTATTATAATTTTACATCGTTTCCTTCCCCCAAAAAATTGCAACGTTTCATGATTTATGAAATTGACGTTTTTTCAATTTTTGATAAATAATTAATTAATATATTTATGACAATTTTTTAAAATATTGAATTTTGTTGATTGAATTTGATCATGAATATTTATTTTGTCTCCAACAAATGTATCTAAATTTGCTAATGAATACAAACGAACACATACCAATGTAAAATTATTTAAATTTGTTAATGAATTTCGTTGATTGCATTCCAAAATAGTAATGCAAGCAACTATATATCTATGTAAAATTAGAAAGATACTAATGCAAACAAATGTATACCAATTTATAAATAAATATGGGCGAATGTATCCAATATATATGTATACCTATGTAAATCTGAAAGATATTAATGCAAATAGATGTATACCAATTTATTATAATTACGAACAAATGTATCCAATACAAATGTAAAATTAGAAAGATATTAATGCAAACAAATGTATACCAATTTATAAATGAATATGGACGAATGCATCCAATACAAATGTATACCTATGTAAAATTTGAAAGATATTAATGCAAATAAATATAAATGTATACCAATTTATAATGAATACGAACAAATGTATCCAATACAAATGTATGCCAATCTATTAAATGAATATGAATTAATGAATACCAATACAAACAAATGTATACAAATTTGTTAAGTGAATATGGATTGAGCTCAAAGGCAAAATAATTGGCAGGTAATGAACTCATAGGAATACCTTTAAAATAAGAATAATCATAATTAAAATATTATTTGCTAATTTTAAGAAAAGATATAATTCTAAACAGTAATAGAGATGTCATTACTTTTCTTTTATTATTTTTAAAAATATGAAATAATTTGAAACGAGAGAGTTTTGAATAATCTTTTGCTAGTTTTAAGGAGAAATGGTTGGAAGTTAGAAGAGAGATGAAATTATTTTTTTTAAAAAAAATACGTAATAATTTAAAAGGAGAGAGATAATTCTAAATAATTCTTTTTACTAATTTTAAGGAGTAATGGTTGGAAGTTAGAAGAGAGATAATATTATATATCTTTTATTATTTTATTTTTTTTTAAAAAAAAATATCTACTTTTAAGGTAATATGTGCCAATTTTTTATTTGTTTATTTATTGCTAATTAATATATATTGCCAATTGTATATAACACTTGTCTATCTGCGTCAATTCCTCCCTAAATATGGCTATTTGTGCACTTGTGCCTTGTTTTAAATCTTACTATATTTCCCCAAAAAAAAGGTGACCGGGCCGATTTGGATATATCCGCCCGAACAGGTTACATGTACCGGGTTTTATAAAAGCGAAAGAGATCTCATTGTTCTTATACTTTCCTTGTTGCTTCTTTCTCAAGAAATTTTTCGAAATACAGATTTGTGAGGAGAACGAACGCATCTGAAAAATCCATGGCACCCGCAGCAGCCGATATCGAAGATGAGATCAAGGACGAGAAGAACCCACCGCCACTTGATGAAGATGATATTGCTCTACTCAAGACTTATGTACTATTTCTTCCCCTAATCTTTAACCCTAATTCTTACCTATTGGCTCTATCTATTGATTTTAATTCATTTTGAACTGTTAATTTTTCATTGCGCACTGTTGGATAACTGAGATGGTACAGAATGTTGCAGAAATGTAATTTTTGATATTATCTTTCGTTTTGTTACTAAGTGGGTTCGAATTTGAAGAATGTTTGAGCTATTGAAGGTAGTGATTTGCGTTTATGGATTTAGGTGGATGTTTTATAGGTGTGGATGCGTGCAGCTAGCAACATCTCTCATTTTCATTATGCTCAAAACCTTTTTTAGGTTATCAATGTTTTGGGGGAATAGTAGTTCAATTGGTTGACTATCTGACTACCTTCACACCTTGTTGGTGAGGGTTCCACTACCCACCTTGTAATCCCCTCCCCATAGCGCCATTTTTTTGGAAGACATAGAACATGGCCCCCTTCTCGTCATTAGAAACTTGAGCTTAGCTTGAACCTACTTAAATACAGCTTATCAGGGAATTCCACTCTCTTATGTCTCACTCAAGTGAATTGGTTTAGGGAGCATAAACTATGGATAGTTCAATTATCAGAACTAAGGATGGATTCAATGGGAGAAGTCTAGGTGCGTTCCTTAGTGGGAAATAATTTTTCCCCTGGGCTGTAGCTCTGGTCTATCTAGTAACGGCCTCTAAAAGTTATGTTTGGAGTGTCAACATAGGGGTCTTGTTCGTCGCTTGCTACCTTTCTAACAAGCCTTTGAGTCGTCAGGTGTGATTGACTGAATATGCAGCCATGGAACTGTTGAGTCACTTATGAGACTCGTGACCAGAGTTGCTCATAGCATAAGTATAACTTTTTATGGTCTGAGAGGATCTGTAATATTACTTATGTTGCATTGCTCTTTTTGCTTTTGTTTTTGTGCTTTCTAATTTGTATTTTGCAGCTTAGAATTGATTTTTAAAAAGTTAAATTCAAGCTGTCAATTCACTTTTAGGAATGAAAAAACCAATCATATTTTCTCCACCTAATTACATGCCATGTTTTTAGAGGCAGAAACATATCAGAGAGATTATATGTCTGCGAGTATGAGTTACACTTATATCTGAACCATTCTTGTGCAAATTTGGTGAACTGCAGCGGGGCATGTGTGGTCCATGTGATCTTCTTGTTCCTTATAAGTTGCTTTCTGGTTTTGTACTTCTAGTGGGAGCTCTTGTTCTCCTACATAAGCTCCTCCACTGTTGTAGCTGATTCCCCATCTGTTATGTTGAGCTAATGCCTGGGAGCTCGGTAGGTTTAGGTCACTCTAGGGTATTGAGGCTCTCCTGTTAAGCACGGATAAGTTGCCTTGGTCAATTGTGCCTCTCATTATAAATAAAATTTAAATAGATTTTTTTTTGATGAATGAGAAATCTGTTCGGGGTCAACTCTTTAAGACCAATTGTGTCATTCGAAGTTTGGTGATAATGACCTGCCCTTGTACCCTTCTCCAATGAAAATACCAGGCTTAATTGGTACAGCACAGGAGTCAAACCTCTTACCTAAGTCACAAGTTCCTCCACCTTTGCTACTTGAACTAAGCTATGAGGGCAAAAAAATAGAAGAAATATGCATATCTATCTTTTTTGTTTTTTGAGAAATTATTCAGTTGTAAGATTGAGTCAGTGAGGTGCACGTGTTACTCTAGGCCTAAGTCACACGTCCCTCCTCCTTGCGAGCCTTTTGGTACAATGATCCTTCTGCATGAAGTACATGATGTAGATGAAATGCAAGATATGATTGGGAATTGCCGAACTTGTAATTATATTTTGTAGTGCTAGCTCAGTGAATGTTCACAATATATAAATTATTCTCACTACCTATCAACAAAATATAATGATTTTTGCAGGGCCTGGGACCTTATTCGACCAGCATAAAGAAAACCGAAAAGGAAATCAAGGAAATGGCCAAAAAGATAAATGATTTATGCGGTATGTTTGTTATGTCTCTTGTTGATTTTGTATTTGATTAAGTAAAGGGACTTCTTTTTGTTCTTTTCAAACCTTGTGTCTCTTTGTTGCACAT